CGCCGTAAGCTAAACCTTGGGTTTCGTAAGCTACCGTAAGCAAATTCCTTACCGTCAAAGAAACCGGATAAGGGTTTTGATCCTCGCTCAGGTGACTATAGGGTTTAGGGTTCTGGGCTTGGGGCTCTGATGTTCAGGAATTGGGGCACATGAATCGCAATGCTGTTGAACCGGCACATTAATCCCAGATCAGCCCACTACTTCCTAAAATGCCCGAAACCTCAAATCTCAGAACCCCAACCCCCGCAAAACCCTAAACCCTAAAACCCTCAACCCTAAGCCCCTGTTGGGCAAAGCCCTAAGTTTTGACTGAGGCATATCAATCAGGAGATCGACCTTTGGAAGGAGATTGACTTCAGCCAGCCAGGAGCAAAGGGTTCGGGGTTGACTCAGGACAACACAGGGATTGTAATGAGGGTTCTATTCGGGGCTTCGGGGTGGTTAGAATGTAGGGGGCCTATGGGATTACAAACTTCTTCAGAGGGATCCCAAGTAGGACTTTAGGGTTTAGGCACGAATTGACTATAGAGACGCTATAGGCGGGCTTCCCCCCCCACAGGCTTGAGCCCCCTTCTCCTTTGACGTCTTTTAGTGGACTCTACTCTTTGTAGGGCCCATTCAGGTGTGCCATGTGTCTGGGCGTGTTGGAAGCTTCGCGTTGTTATCAGGTTCGGCATTGCAGGTTGGGGCTGGGGATGAAAGGTTAAAGGTTTGCATATATTCATATTCCACAGTTCTGTGGCGTGCTAAGGAGTTAAATGGACTTTCCATAAGTTAGGTTCCTTCATTGGCAATCCCTATGGACCCCTGGTCCACATGGCTGCGAAAGGAATGGATCTGACCGACCTGGCCGACAAGATCAAGGACTTGGGGTCTAGGATTTATCATCCAGATATGTGAGCTTGTTTGGGAAAGGTCAGTTTTGATGCGCAGGGCTTGGTCATTGCTGGGGCTGAGGCTTCCCTGAACTAGAGGTCCCTTTTGGGGGGTAGCTATAAGAAGGATGATGGTATTTGGGGGTCTATATTGGGGTCCTCCCCTGTGGTGGAAAGTAGCATATCTTAGAAGGACCCCCCACCCTGTAATAGTGGTATAATAAGAATATAAGAGGACCCTAATATAATCCCTATTATCCCTTATAGTCACTATTACTGGGTGGGGGGTCCACCTAAAGCATATCCAGATAGATGTTCCCGTCAGCTCGGGTCCCAAGTGCCAGCCCAAAGGTTTCCATGCGCACGCCATGCATACTTAAGGTGGACCCCCCACCCTGTAATAGTGACTATAAGGGATAATGGGGATTATATTAGGGTCCTCTTATATTCTTATTATACCACTATTACAGGGTGAGGGGTCCTCCTAACGCATACAGTTGTTGCTGCATGCGCGGATAAGATGGGCCCTATTGAAATGCTCTTGGAGAGTCAGGATAGAAGGACGGAGATTATAGCCATACCCCTACCTGAACTGAGGGGGCGTGGTGCTGCGGTATACTTAGCGTCGTGCGGGGTCTTGTCCATAAACTTCATCTGCTTAGCGCGTATGTTTGAGATTTGCGGCTGCGCAACCTCATCCTTCATGAAACGTGCCCTGGACCTGTGATAGGCTGTGGAAAGCTTCTGCAATCAGCTGCAGTATAGGGGATGATAGGGGTTATAGTCTAAACCCATATTATCCCCCTTAATAACCCCTATAGTATTCCCCTATATAGTCCCCTTTATAACCCTTCTTTAAGGAGTTGAGAGATTAAAGCTCATAAAACCCAAGTGTATGTTGTGTAGGTCTCCTACTAGTGAATTAAACTATGCAAAGGCTGGGCTTTGGCTTGTATATCTGCATTGGAAGGACAACCAAGAACTCTTTTCAGCACTGTTGGTCGTGAATTTGCCCCGGCTAGACGGCTTTTTATGTCCTGTCCCACTGTGGACCTATATGAGCTCAAGTCTAAACTCCTTGAAGGGAGGTTACACGGGGGAGTTTAGACTATAGAACATATACCCTCAACGATGGCAATTACATGTCGATGTAATTTCTGACTAGTTAAGTGCTTTGGGGACGTAAGTGGTGCAAGATTTCCTCGTCCACCAGAGCAGCTACTATCAATAGTAGGGTTACCAAGGACCATAGAGGGTGGACATAAGGGTATGGTAGTTTGGCTTACAATCCGAAATATAGTCATGCGGGAAATCTTGACTTTGGCTCATCTGATTCCAGGAATACACCCTAAACCCTTAACCCCAAACTGATTCCAGGAAGACATTGAGACCAACCTCAAGAGAAGGCTAATCCAGGCCACGATCCGACTCCGAGCCAAGATCGAGGCTGGCTCAATACTCCTTGGGGCTTAGCTTGGACATTAGACCCTTAGCCTTTTGGGATTCCCTTATATTCCTAGCATGTGTACCTAAGCGTTAGCCCTTCGTAGGGGTCCTAAGTGCCACGTAGAATATATGGAGGGTGCCACAGAGAATATATGGAGGTTCAGTTCAGTACAAAGGTAGCACTTGAGGTTGAGGGTGTGGGGCTTAGAGTCTTAGGTTTAGGGTATAGGGGCTATGGAATAATGGGAAAAATGGAAACGACTAGTTCTTGTTCAGGGTTTAGGGGCAAAATGAGATATAGTCTAAGCTCCTTAAAGGGGGTTATATAGGGGAGCTTTATATGGGCTACTAAGGGGGATACTAGGAGTTGAGACTATAGTATAGCTCATATAGAGGTAACATAGGGTCATATAAGAGATGTGTTATTTGGGGATGTACAGCGCTGATGTAGGAGCATCTAGGGTTCACGGCGGTTAAAAGCTAACCATGGATGTACTCACAATCCAAATATGAGCCCCCTCCTTACGTATGACCAGATAGAAGAGTGTCATGGGTACCATTTATATACATTTTAACTGAGCCTCCAGCAGTATGTGGATTCCTGGGATAATGCAGGAGGGTAAGACCAAAAAAAACGCCCTTGGCCTTGTCCTGCACCCTGAAGGTCTCCTGTGACCAGTACGAGGGCATTGACGCCGTGAAGGATGATCGAGAGAACTGTCTTCCCTTTGTCTGGGTTTTAGGGATAAGGGTTAATGCAAACAAATGAAAATTACTATAATGCTTGGGATTATATTAAAGGACTGCTAGCGGAACCATTGTTTAGGAAGGAATGGAAGAGAACATGGAAAGTACTGTAATGGAGAGTCAGATGGAAGAGAACATGGAAAGTGTTATGGCAACTGGGCTTATTTAGGGAAACAAAGGGATGAAACGACAATGCGAACTGTTATGTAATTTAGGAATTGTTAGGTCTACTCTTGGACTACTATGAAGATCCTGTCCCTCATTCCTTGGTACAAGAGCTAAGTTATTTGGTATTGCGGTTGTCACCTTAGCTTGTTGCTATTCTTGCTGTCGCTACCAATGCCACCGGATCCAGAACAAAGTTGCCACTACGACGCTGTGAGAACCGTGGGGCTACCACTTGAAACACGTTAACGTGTTTCAAGTGGTAGCCCCACGGTTGTCATTTCACCCAGTGCAGAGCGAAGAGGTTCTTCTTTGAGGGTCTGGGTTTAGTATCATATTTCTTCAGTTCTTACCCTCAATCTCTACATAATCTCCTTATAACGCCATGTGAGCTACTGTCAATATTGGGCTTGCCCGGGGACCTTAAGGGTGGACCCAGAGCTTGTAGATTAGTATAGTCCCCGTCCCCGAATATATTTATTCCCTCGTGAGGAATCCATGTCCATTAATTATATGGGGAAATTCTGATTGTGCTCATGTAAAAGTTTTAATGTTGGTTCCAAAGGTACCCTAGCAGTGCAGAGTGGAGGGTTTCTTCAGTCACATGCATGATCGCCTTTCTCTCCGCACGAGGCAAAAGCCATGAATAATGAGAAGATTTTGAACCTTCAACCCTAAACCCCAAACCGCGTCAACCTTCAAAAGCAGGTCCTTGTCTCAGTCACATGCCAGGGTCTTTGTCATATTACGGGTTTAGGGTTAAGGGTTCAGGGTCTTTGTTATACCAGGGGCTGGGGTGACCAATACACCTACTTATCAGTGATGACAAGAGATTTGTACATGTCTCAGCCCAGATCCTGCAATCAATCTTTATTTGTCGCTTGTCTATAAGAAATGGAAAATCACGTGGAAAACCATACACAAAATGAAGAAATGGACACCGGGGTGTTTGAGAGCGAGAGAGAGATCTATATACAGTTGTGTATATATATATACACATATTTTTGCACCAGTTGACCGTCTTCTTCGGTTCAATGCAATACGCAACGGGTGAATTCCCCAGGTATTCGCATGTAGTGCCGGCCGCCAAACCCTAAAACCAGAACACTAAAACCTGGACGGCTACATCTCCTGAAGCCTTTGGCTTGACTTTCCACTCCCTGGGCCCAACAAGTTCCAGAACTTGGGAACCAGACGGTCGCACTTCCTAGTATCCCGTCGTTATCCTACTACATCTGTGCATCTGCAGGGTCCCATCCTGTGTGGGCCCCAGAAAGCGGTACGAGCACTATTTGGGAGGTTCTCGACATGATACTTACGCAATCCTGACGGTGTCCTATACTCCTTTTAAAGTCCCTAGGTCTTCCTGGGCCTGGGATGCTTCAGAACAGCATTGAAGCCTCAACGCAAGAAAGTCTCGTGTTATACCTCTTGAGCCCTAAGCCCTGAATCTCCAAACCCCTTAAAGCCTCAAACCCTAAACGCTTAAACCCTAAACCTCTAAACCCTTACGCCCTAAACAGTCCCTGAACCCTAAACCCTGAACACCTAAACCCTGAGCCCTTGAACTCCAAACAGGAGGCTTTGGCCGAGGGCTTCAAGGCTAGCACCGAGGAGTGCGAGGTGACCACCACACATTTGTTTCAGGGTTTCAGGGTTTAGGGGTTAAGCGTTTGGGGTTTGAGGGTTTAGGGTGTGTGGGTTTAGGGTCCAGGGTAGGGATTCAGTAGGGATTATACAGGGAGGAATGGAAAAGAAGATGAAAGCTATTTAGGGTTTAGGTTTTCGGGATCCTATCCAAATTACGGAAAATCAAATGGAACACGGAACATGGAATGGAAGCTGGCTTTGGGGTGGGTAGGAAAACCATTTTAAAATCTGTTATCATTAATCCCTATACGATCCCCTACAGGCCATAAGCAATTCAATGTGCATAGGGCCCCCAACCTATCTTAGGTTTGAGGATCAGGGCCTAAGCGGCAAGCAATGTTGGGGCTAAATCCGGCTTCGGTTGCGTGACTGACCCATTTTTTGCTTTCTCGGGGAAACGAGGGTGTATAGCTCATGTTGGGGATATTTGGGGGATACGCTTGGAACAGCAGTGACATACGACATACGCGTGGGCTTTCGAATTCCAGACGGGGCATGTGGCTGGAGGAAAGGCCTGTGCAGCCACTTTCAGAGGGAAAATGGGAAGAGTCTGCAGGAGTTCTCTTGAGAAGCACGAGTCCGACAGGAAGCATACTGGGATTTTCAAATGTCTTTCGGAGCGGCATAGCAAATTTGAACAGATATGCTAGACCATGCTGGAGCTACCTGTTGTTTTACCTGTTTTTGGTGATCCTTCTTGGACTGGAACATTGAGTAGCTCCGTTGCTGGGATAAGTGTGCGTGATGCACAGGTATGCTTGAGGTTGTTAGGTTTTAAGTAGAAGGATCTGCCGATTCTGAACCCCAACCCAATGGTTGCCACATGCTCCAAGGACTTACTTCCTGGTGACAAGTAAGGAATGGTGGAACAGATCTCAATCGCAGCACCTATAACCATTTCCTTGTTTTGCTACTAGGCCCTAGTAAGCCAAGGAGTTCAGCAGAAAGCACATGTGCGGTGTGATGTTCTCAGGGTTTAGCGGCTGTAAGTGTAGGGTGTAATTGGTAGGACCAGGACTAAGTGGGCTAGAGCTTTACTGGGTCTCTGTTAATGAACCTAAGTCAGGTTACAATAATTGGTATATATAGTAATTAATTTAGTATGGTTTCCCGAATATACTAACTCAACTTAAGTTCCTGAACAGCAACCCAGATTCAGGTCAGGCAAAAGAGCTCAACCTTTAAAATAGCTTGTCCCTGATCCCTGAGTTTTAGTATACCTCAACCTACCAAAACCTTTCTTTTTGTAGGTTCCCCAATAATGTTTTTAATTAGGGTTTGTAACAGGACGGTACGAAAAATGGGTCGCGGTAGGTTAAGGTAGGGCTTTGATGCCAGTACCTGGCCTCAACTCCCTTACAAAGGCAGTCGAATTGTTCATGCTGTGCATCCAAGAAGCAAACTCAGTATGAACACGGTCGTCAGTACGATATGATCTGTAATGATGGCAAACTGTAACAAATACTGTCACATGCGCAAAAGTGGTATATAGTCATACCAGTACCTGGCCGTACCTGGTCGCACTCTACTACAACTTGGTTTTGCGGGGGTGATTAATTCATTTAGGGAGCTGAGATCGAGCCAGCGAGAGAGAGGGGAACTGAAATCTAATTTTTCCGTGGGGATCACAGAGCAGCCTAAGAGCACGTACTTACCAGAATAGTAAGGAAGCCCTATTATTTGCTATATACCCATGTTGTGGTAACTTAATTCAAATTCCTAACCAGCAAATCAATTGTGGAGTCTTTAGTTGTCATCCCTGCTAGGCCAATCTAGTCTGGCGAGTCGCATTTCTCGGGTGAGCGTAGGGAATAAGGGAAGATCACTCCTGCAAACGGTTTAGGGTTTGGGGTTTAGGGTAAAATCCTTCGCCTGGGTTGCTGTTAGGGCACTTAGGTTAAGTTACCATCATGGGCAAATACATGTATGTATTTATATATATACATTAATGTGGTCTCCCCGACGTGGTGACTCAATTGAAGTTCCGAAACAGCAAACCGGTAGAGGGAGCAATACCTTTGCTCATTCTAGCTGGTTCTAGCGTGTAGCGGATAAAGATGCGATACCCAAGCCCGAACGTCGCGCAGGTGAAGATCAATCTCGTAGCCCACCCGCTCTTTGTGCTGACGTGCCGCTTGTATTATGATAGCTTTTCCTTTTTTGATGCTGTTTTGATGGAGATGATAGGGGGCAGCAATAACAATCGGGTGTTTGGTTCTTGCAGTAGTCGGCCGAGCGTGCAGTTGCGCACCTTTTTGAGCGGTATCTGCGGTTGACTCAGTCGTTATCCACAGACTGGAGCAGCAGGAACACAAAATAACAATAGTATTTGGAGTAGTACCATTACTTATTCGTAGTATTAGTATTCTGAGTATTGCCATTTATGTTATTACTATTAGAACTAGTCGCCCTTTTAGTAGCAAAGAGCCCGCAACATTGGATGTGTTTGTAAACAGCTGGCAAAGTATTGAGGCATATGCAGGGATAAGCCGACCGGCATGGCAGTGCTCGAGGATGCCATGAAGAGGACACCGCGGCAATAACCCCTATATTTCTGGGTTGCGGTTAAGGGCTTTAATTTAAGTTACCATGATGGGTATATAGAGTAATTAATATGGTGTCCACAATATAGTATTTTGAACCAAGTTCCTTGACAGCAACCCAGTAGTTGGAGGTTCAGGGGAATGATTATCCAGTTAAAATTTTTATTCATAACCCCAATATGAGCCCCGTAGATTCCTCCTATAGGGTTATGATTCGTAATAACTATATATGGGTATGTCTCACCGTGTTTGGGTATGGAACAGGGTGCACGCGGACAACCTTCCGTACCCGGATCCGTGGTTTCTCGTTCTGCGCCTCCTCATTTCAAAAATGTCATGCGCATCGGCAGTCCATAGGGTGTGGATCAACACACATCGATTGGTTAACCAACAGCCGAAGCTTCTGAGACATCCCCATATACACACACATATTTATATACATAATACATCTGTGTGTATATGTATGCAGCTATAGTACACCGCATATCTGTATTTGTACACATATCGCAGCAACATCGACAGCTGCAATCGATACTTTAGAGTTCATTTTCTATCCTGCCTGGCAATAACTGAGTCATGGCCTTCTGAATTGTACGGCCGAAGACCATCTCTATTTCAGAATTCCTGCCCGGGTTTGACATCTGTAGGATTCACGGTACACCCCGGGACTGTGTGCTCCTTAGCCCTGTGCGCGGCTAAATAGTGGAAGCTGTAGATATTGGACTATATAACCCTTAAGTAACCCCTACATAACCCCTATAGAACCCCTATGTAACCCCTATATATATACATATATATCTACATCTTGCTGCAGAATCACGCTACTGTATCAGTTGCATAGGGATTGTAACTTCAAGGCATCGACTCCATAGCCGAAGGGATGCAAGCACCAAATCACAAGACCAACATTTGAGGAGTCAAAGGACACAAAGCCTCAAACCACTCACAAAGGACTTTGGTCAAGCCAAGGCGGATTACGCAAAATCAGAAGCCGCAACCTCAAGATAAAGGCCTCTAGGGCTTGCATGGAATACGCACGGCCTGTTTATAGCGCTCTGCTACATTGAAGCTGAGGATGTTTTTGAGGACGGGACTGTCACCAAGGAATCTGTCCTTGATAATAGTAATAATAATAGTAATATTTATACTAGTAGTAGTAGTAGTAGTAGTAATGATAATGATAACAGCCTGAAGCCTCCCTAACCCCAAGCCTTGCGCCTCGGATGAGAAATCCGTAAGCTGAGAAGATTCTGGAGTGTTTCATCAGGATTGAGGACTCCATCAAGGAGAAGAAGGGTGAGTACCTCACCGTACTCTTGCCGGAAGTAACTGGCCAAGAGGACGCATCCTGCCATGGGTTTTTGATGTGTTTGAGTCATCGAAGGACATTGTTTTCCTAGACATGATGTGTTGGGGTCCGGAAATAGGGGGACCCCAAAATAAAACCTTAAACCCTAACCCATCCTTATTCCATCGACCGTGGAACTGACAAGTATTCTTGAAGTGCTTGGCGTGAGCCACGGTGACTCGAAGGATAGCTGCCCCTGGGGTGAAGCAACGCTAGGGGACCCCAATGTAGACCCCCAAATTAAAGTCCTTATTATGGGGATCCCCGAAAAGGTACTCCTAATTTTGGCAAACCCCCAACTGGCCGAATAATAGCCATAAAGGCCATTAGGTAGTAGTTCGGAGTACAACCCTAAACCCGAACCCTAAACCCTAAACCCCTAAACCCTTCAGGAGAAGCAGGCAGAGGAGTCCAGTGATGAGGAGGACTCAGAGGATGAAGAGGCTCCTCAGAGGGTTTGGGGTGCAGCGTTTGGAGTTCCCAGAGTGTACCCGATAATTAGGTACTTGAGATTTGGGTAATAGTAATTATGGTACAGGTTTTGGGTAAGTGTATGATTATTAGGTACTTGGACCCTTGGGGGTTTAGTTTGTAGTAGGATAAAGTAGATAATTGATCAAGAAGGGCTAGCGTAGGTGTCTCTGGCTTGGTGGTCTGGGCTTCCTGTGTCCTTCGCCCTAATTTGTCTGGGAACCTTACAACCAACTGTAGCCTGATACCCAGATCGTACCACTCTTACTCTCGATCCGGTACCCCAGATTTGGTACTCCTAGTACCCAAATAATAGGGATTTAGGGCCCAAATACCATTAATATCATAGTATATGGGCCTTTAAACCCTATTATTTGGGTCCTTGGACCCTTAGGATCCCTTGCAAATACTGACAGCCGCCCGCGCACGCAAGGCTGGCAGCGATCAAGAGGCAATGCCCGACTTGGATGAAGCGGCCATGGCTGCTCTGATGACAAAGAAGGCCAGGGGTAGGGTTTAGGGTCTAGGGAGAAAATGCTGAGCTGAGGAGTTTAAAGCTTAGAAAACTACAGCTATGGTGTAAAGAGCGCATGGCGAGTCGTTTTGCATTGATAACCTTCCTTCCTACAAAGGGTGAGTGCTTTATGAAGCTTCGGCTTGCCGGTTGGGGTGACGGGTGGCGGGAGAAACCCTGCTGCTAGATTGGATTGGAGTTGTAATAGCAGCGTATCCGTAGAAAGTAAAGAACATCAGTTGCAGCTCAGCTCATGCAGGAAGAGATGACAGTGCGCTAAGTGCTGATGGTTGAGAGTTCATTTCGGTGGTATTGCTGCGGCAGCATTGCTGCGTGTTGAGAGGGACTACATATAGGCGGCATAAGAAGGCCAAAAGATACCAGAAGTCCACCGTTTCTTTGCCGTTCACCAATCCTTCTTTGTACTTATTTTAAGCCCGGCCCATGATGTATCCGGGTTGATTTCTGCTTTCTGCCAATGGTGTGCTTTCAAGACAGTTGCAAGCCAGTGCTTGCCACTGCTTTTCAACAGTTGTGAAAAACAGTACAATTTTTTTCTAAATGCCGGTAACTCTAAACTCTATAATAAAGTATACACCCTAAATCCTGACGGATTACGGCTTAGCGGCTGACACGCCTCATGAAAGAGAGACTTGTTTGATATTTCGACTCTATTTTAGGTTGCTGTTAAGGAACGCAAACTAACATACAGAAACCCCAATTATTTACTATAAAATCATTTTATTTTTTAGCGTGATAGACGTTCCTTAACAGCAACCCAGTATTTTGTAGTGGTCTTCCCTGCATGTGCTCTTCGAGCATGGAAGGTGGAGGGCGACGATGAAGACTAAGCGGTGCGCCAGTCAGTACAGCTCTGAGTGTGCCCGGCCGGAACAGCTGGCAATTCATTAGATCCTGCCCAACAAAGCCTTTGTGGGGTGCATGGCTTTCCCAGACCACAGGATGTAACTAGTAAAGCATCCCAGGGCCTTCAGTTCAACTGACTTTCAGCGATGAAACTGTGCTTCACTCCGCGCGCGTCCGGAGATGGAACACCAAGATGTGCTTTGATGGACCCTGGCGGTATTGTAGCCCTTTGTAAGTAGGTTCTCTGCCCCCATCGAGTAACCCCAGGGTCCCCAAAGTGCAGCCATGCCCCATGAGCCCAGGCAGAGTAGGACCCAGGACCAGGCATGATTTGGCCCCACACTGACGCATACTTGAGTTACCATGCTAAAAAAGCCTTCTTAGTTCCTACAGTGCTACAGACCCATATTCTGGTAGCTACCATAAAATGGGTGTATCGTGCATAACAGGGTTCCTTCAGAATGTTTTTGGCGCAAGGGTTTGCTTGCAAGAGCAGGCGGCCATAGGCATCAATGGGCTTGAATTCCTCATGCCCTCAACTGCTGTCACGCAAGGTTTGCAAGGCAGAGCCCGTCCAATGAACAAGTCGGGGTTTCGGAAATTTGGGGTTCCTATAGAATGGAATATTGTAGTTCCGGGTATGAAAGGGGTACTTATTTGGGAAGCTTCCAAGTAGTGCAGGATTTTTACTGGGAATCATGCTCTCAAGACCCCCAGTATTTTTTGGAGTAAATGCCGGTAAGAACCTGCACTCATACAACGTGCAAGCCAAACCGCCGGAAGCTCCGTACACCCAATGATGGCTATCTTACCTAAGCCCGAAACGCTAAAATGCTAAGCCATCAATATCCTAACCCTCAACCCTTAAACTCCTAAACGCTTTTAGTCCAAGCCCTTACAAACCTAGCCCTTATAAACCTAGACCCTGAGATCCTAACCCTAAACCCTAAACTCCAGATCCTGAGATCCTAAACCCTTTGGTCCAAAGAGCCTGGGCCCAAAACTGGATTGCTGTTAAGGAACTTAAATTAAGTTACTAAATTGGGGAGACCCTATTATTTACTATATATACCCATTATGGTAACTTAATTTAAGTTCCTTAACGGCAACCCAGAAAAGCTGAAAGCGCCTCGAGTCCAACCATGGTAATACTTGAGAAGCCTGATCGATCAGATGCCGCCCCACGCTGCAAAATGGTTGGGACATATTAGGGTTAGATTGGGGTTATATAGGTGCAATATTAGGGTTATATTGAGTGATATTAGGGTTAGATTGGGGTTATATTGGTGTAATATTAGGGCTATATTGAGTAATATTAGGGTTATATTGGGGTTATATTTGGTGTATTATTCGTGTTATTTGGGCGTAATATTAGGGGTATATTGGTGTATTTTTTGGGTTCTATTTGGGGAATACTAGGAATTATGGAGAAGAAGCTGGAAACTACTATTTAGGGTGTAGGGTTTTGGGATGGTGGAAAATCCAATGGAACAATATGAAATGGAAGGGGGGGGGGTGCGATAGGGGATCATAGGGATGTAGGAAGCAGGATCTCATCATGGTTTTTGGTGAGTGTATATGGCCTGTAGTCTAAACTCCTTAAAGGGGAAATTTAGGGGAGTATTGTGGGGGTTACTAAGGGGGATACTAGGAAGTTAGACTACAGCTAGGAATCTTGTGGGTGCTTTTATGTTAGGTGTCCAATTTGAGAGACGACAACTAGAAGGCCTACCATAGGTTTGGTTAGATGGGAAGACTAGGTGCCACTTCGGGATAATTTCAGTTTGCATTAATCCCTTCCCCCCAATATTAAATCCGCCCTAATATTGAATAACAAATTCAGGGCAGGGACGTCGTTTAATATTAGGGGGAAGCGATTATTCTTGTACCATACATGGTTTGGGGATCTCTGAGGCACCACGAGGAAGAGCTTCCTAAGAAGGACACCAAAACCCTGAGGAACGTCCCTAAACCTTTAGCCCTAAACCCAACACTGGAAGGGTAACTCAAACGGCTCCGGGTTCTCAAGCTACCCTTCAGGGGTCCATATAATGAGGGCTATAATATATTTGGGTCATTCTTGAATAATATAAAGGGGTTGCAAAATAGCAGTGTTTTAATTAATGCCCATGGTGGATATTCTGAGCAGCTGCCCAGAGGGGCATGCTCGGAATTTAGACTATAAGTCTATCATCAGCTGCATCCTAGGAATGCGTACCTTGAAGGTTGGCTACCCGAGCACGGAGCTAGCATCATTGAGGTTGCAACTAAGTATTAAGGAGTGGGACAGTGAAAGCAAGCCACCGGCGCACGACTCATTGCAAGCAGCCGTGGGCGGTCGCAATTATGTTTCTCAATGCTAAAGGTTCCAACCAAGCGAGTAGAACAATGCATCCAACCAGGAACTCATCTCACCCATCAAATTAGAATCATCTGTTGGCACGACTACTTGCTAGATCAATTTCATGTGCGCGCCATGCATGCTATGGATTTGGAGCACTTGTTGCTTCTGGCCTGGTTCGAAGGTTCGATGTTCAGCTAAGAGAACTGTTAGCACATACTGGGTTTCTGAGTAGCACCAGCAGTAAGGTCAGTAAAGTCCAAGAATGCCTGAAGACCAACCAATTTCATTGAGGCTTGCATTTTGGTCTTCGCGTGGATGGGCCTCATTATCTTCTCCCGAAGTGATGAAGGCTTTTGGGATTCGGTGTGAACGGCCCACTGGTCTGGGCTCGCCCAAACCCAACTGTGGAAGACTTGGGTTTAGGCTTTAGAGACTATCCCCTTATAACCTTGGCGTGAGCTTGGTATCAAATACTAGTCTAGTTTTGAAAGCCGGCGCAGTACTTCCTTGAAATACTTTGCGTAGGCACTCCTCTGGTAGAGGTGCAGGTAGCAAGCAGTGGCTTCAGTTCTCATGCCACCTGGAGGTTTCCATAATTAGGTGGCCCCAATATAGGCCCGAAACACTAGAAACCTTATGATGAGGACCCCGTAGAAGAGGCCCTTAATTTTGGGATCCATAACAGGTTTTCCTATACAAACAAAACTATGAGCCCCTTCCCGTGGGGCGACAACAAGAAGCTTCACAAATGTTGGTTTAAGGTTTAGGGGCCGCCATATGTAGAAGCCCCTTACTACCAGAAGGCACACATTTGCTTCTTGATCCAAGTAGGGTTTAGGGCTTGGTGATGGCCAGGCCGTGCATGACAGTTTACTTGTTCCTAGGTATAGTTCCCCTTAAGTAAATAGAATATGGCTTTGGGTATATTATAAAGAGATCCCCATAGACCCCACCTTCTACCTCTTTAGGGGCACTATACCCCAGTAGTACCGTTTTTCCCTTTTATTTTTGGGGTTTCCTTGCCAAAGCTGAACATTAGGAAAAAGGGTACCCTGATTATTGATAGATTACGGGGGACCTAGGTTCCTCCCTGCAAAATGCTCTCTCTGCCATTGCGTGCTGAATTGGGGAAGGAAATAGAAGCACCATTATTAGGGTTTAGGGTTTAGGACAATTATTGGGACCTCCTTCCCCACTGGCCCCTCCGACATAATTCTTTTTTGGGTTTGGTATGCTTGTGGACTCACAAAAGGTACTGAATGGAGAGGTCTTGGATCCATACATATTGGACACATGGGAGTCATTCAACATACTTGACCCTTATCCCTGTATCTTCCCCCTTAAGTATATAGAATATGGCTTTGGGTATATCATAATGAGATCCCCATATACCCCTAGAGTCTTTGACGCATGGAGTTTAAGATGCCATTAGTATGCAGAGAAGATATGAGCCAAACTATAAACTCCTAGTATCCCCTTTAATAACCCATCCGATGGTCCGCTTTATATTCCCCCATATAACCTCATGTAGCTCATATGGCTGCAAAGGCAACGTACTATTATGAGATTCCTCTACAGTCTTGGCAAAGAAACGGCGAGCTCCAACGAGCCGAGCCCTAATTGTGTTACTATTTGGAACATACCCGCAAGGCACAAAACAAACTCCAAGTCCGAATTCAGGATTCTGAAGTATTACAATTTTGCCCAGCTGCTTTGGGAGTCCGCGCCCCAACATCGGCAGTTGATGCATGAATCTCTTCCCAGTACCGCTTTTAGGGGGAATATTTATCCTTGGGAGGTCAGGGGGCTGATTATTAGGTGAGGGTAGCATCCACACTGCTTGGCTTCGGGACTCACCAGCGCTAACAGGAGTCGACTTCTTCGAGACCGAGCTAAAAGCTTCATCATCCCTGCATCTTGGCCAAGGATTGCTGAAGCCGATTTGCATAGCCCTTACGTATCACCTATGTATCACCTTTATATCCCCAGAACCTCTCCTATTTATTATGTAACTACACCCGAAGCCCTGTACATCCCCTACATAGCCACTATGCAACCCTGTTATATCCCTGTATGCAGTGCCGGCTCAGATGCAGCAGAAAGCATGGTAGGGCAGGGTTCCGGGCTGAGTTCATTGGGGTTTAGAGTTTAGGGTTTGGCAGGGGTTGAACTCAGAGGTTTTGCTGGGCATGGAACTTTGCTTGCAAGATCATGAGCCAGTGCCAGCTGAGGTGGATACTTTTCACAACTGCAAACTTTCCGGATGTGATGGTTCCATCCTACACGGATGCGCGTGCTACTTTTGTATTCTTCCTGCTGTACCTTGGCAAGACTATAGGACTTGATGGCACTCTTCCGTGCCCTTGACAGAGTGAGCTCCAGAGGGCCTGAGGATGGAAACCCCACGCGGCCCACGACCTGAAAACTAAACCCTGATGATGGCCTGGTGATAAGTCATGGATTTGTCGAGGACACGGCGAGCTCAGCAACCAAGGAAAGGAAAATGTGAGGAGGGATAATAGATGAGCGCGCTTTCGTACTTTCTTGCTTGGTCCTGATTGCATGCAGTCCGCTCTGCCAACATCCGCCTTCAGTACCTTTGAAATCTTGGTATGTGTGAAGCCTGAAGTTTAGTCGGTA